TGACGAATTTACACTGAAGAAGGGACGCAAGAAGAAGCCAGCAGCTACTGATGAAGAAGAGGATGAGGAAGAGGAAGAGGAAGAAGAAGGAGAGCAGAAACGCGGCGAGGACGAGGATGAAGAGAACGAAGACGAGGGCGATAGTGACGCCGAAGTCGAACAAGGGGAGGCCGGGCTGCTCAGCCTCGATGATGGGGAGTCCAAATCCAAGAAAGACAAAGCAGCACGGAGGGCTGCTAAGAGAGCAGAGCGCAAGGCGCGAAATGCCGAGGCAGAGCAAGCCCGCCAGGCAAAGAAGGCAGAGCGAAAAGCATTAAAAGCACAACGGAAGCAGGAGAAGGAACAGAAGAAACAGGGAGACCAGAAGTCATACAATGCCGTGCCATTCGACTACAGCACGGCGGCTTCGGTAATGAACGCCAGCCGTGAGGCAAAGAGTAGCAATGGCAAGAAGCCGGTCTTCGACCCATACGCGAAGACGGCCGACGATGGTCTCAAGGGTGCCAGGAAAGCACTGCCCATCAAGGGCGAGAGGAGTGGAACCTTCAAGAAATAAAATGTGTATTAGTTTAGAACGAGGCATATAATTGATCTGTTCGGAATGGACGAAACAATGCGGGCTGCAAACATGGCTCAACAACCGCTGACCATGGCGTGTGTAAAACGCGCTGTGCATAGGCGAATACGACACTGCGTGTGATTGCGGTAGGAGGTCTCAGTCGGCACTGGCACTGTTGCATCCAGGCCTGCGCGGCAGTTGTTATTCACACGGCTTGCCACAGCACTGTCCAGCGGGACGACATTATCCGTGTGTAGCCTGTCAAGGGGTGACATTGAAATTCAGACACTCAAATATTCAGCTGCTTATTGTCGAGTCTACAACTAGTATTATCAACTTGTTAGGAGTAATGGTATATGCTTGAAGATAGTACAGCACATATTGTTATTCCATTTCATTTTATACTCCTGAATTACTTAATTTGTCTTAGAAAGTAGTCCATTCATAACCACACTTCGGTTAGGTGTCTCATTTCTACTGTCACCCACTTGCATGTACAATACACTTTTTTATGCATGAGGTAAATGTGGGAGTAATATTAATACCTGGGGTGTGAGTGGCTGACCACCACCGAGGACAGACCCTGGGGTAAACCAAACCCATTACGACGTAGCAGCACTGTAACTCTATAAGTCAGTCCAGGAAGGAGGGCGAAAAAACGCGTACGGAGTGCCTCTATCGAGCATCCATCCCTGATGTGATGCTGTCCCGATTTTCCCCATCCGAATTGATTGAGTGTTTATGCAAATTTCTGCGATCAGTCCATCAGGCGGTTGGGTTTCGGAAGCAGAATATGACAGGTATTCCTGTCTCAAGTGTATGACTCCGGGACTCCGACCAGTAGATTGGGCAGCTTAGCAGGCACCCATCCAAGAGGGATGGATGCCTTTAGAGTTCCGTCCACACTCGCTAGCCCCCCCAGCGTCACAGAGAGGCAGCCAAGAAGCGAGGAAATCATCCGCCCATGGAGCATCTTCCCGCCCCCTTTGATCGTCCATCTGTCTTCTTGTGCTCCTCCCAACCTTATAACCTTCAGGAACAGATGCGCCACTCCCGTCTCCCGTCGAGTCCGTCTGCTGATCCAGGAACTCCTGTCCAGACGAGCAGTCTCGCCAAAGGGCCGAAAAACAAAACAACCAGCCATCTTGTTGGAACCGTGCCCGACACGTAATAAAATGCTACATCGCCCCCGGTCGGTTTCCTCCCCTTGAGACCTGCAGCAGCGCTGATTGGATTCACTCATTCCTGCCTGCACAGGTCATGTGATTTGAGTGAGGGGAAGGAAGGAGAGGGGGGGATGGGGACCCCATCTTCTTCTTTTCTCCTTCATTCTTCTCTCCCCGTGGGTGCCATCCTCATCAATTGATTCCCAGAACTCCTGAACATCCTCGTGCTGCTGCTCCAAGTGCCAGATGAGGTGCAGTTGAACCCATTCCTGGGCGGACTCGATTCACCCTAGTCTCTCTGAAAATCCGGGGCAAGAGGCCAAAATTCCCACTCTCGTGTGGGTCTGGTGTCGTGTGATTCCTGCCTACAAACAGGAGGCGACGACGAAATTCTCCGCCATGGCAGTGTCCAGAGAGCCCTCGAGGTCAATTCATATTCGATCCGGCGAGGGCACGAGTGAATATGCCCTCGAGCGACAATGAGGCGTCGCGTCCGTCGTGACGCCTCGGTGGGTGCGCACGGCCCAGCACATTCCTCAATCACCGCCAGCGACCGCCTCTCCAGGTTTCCCCAGGTCTTGGTGGGTCTCATCTCACCCTCCATGGCAGAGTCGAATCAGCAAGCTGCGGCGCGATAAGATGTTGGTTGACTCCCTTGATAAGATCGGGTTTTCGGACAGTCCTTGATTGGTGAGTCAATGTGTCTGTCTGTCCTTTGTCTTTTTTTTTTTCAAAAGATGGAGAGGTGCTGCAAGAAATCGGCAATTCCCTCCATGCTTCTTTTCCTCTCCCTTCACAATTGCCACTGGCAGAGTCCCAGGGCGACGTCGCGACTTCCAAACGTCAATACAAGTGCGAGAGGAAAATTCCTAAAGTCCAAGCTGATCGCCTATTAGTACGTTGATCGAGGAAGAAGACATACCCCGAACCCTCAACCTTTGATTTTCCGGGCGGAATGTCTCCTGATTTCCGGTAATTTACTTCATCGGCTCTGGACTTCTCGGGGTAATTTTTTTTGTCGTGGTTTGGTCCAAAGTCTCATGATTTTGGCGTCATGTTGTGACATTGATCACTGTGATTTGTTCGGATTTGGAAGCACCACGAAGCTCCCTGTCAGCACCAGTACAGCATGCTTTAAAGATCACTGGCGGCGTTTTCAACCACCAACACCTGCTCTCAAATGTCGGGAGACGCAAAAATGGCCCATCAAGAGAAATTCCATGCAACGAATCTCGAAAATTGCCAGTTTCGAGAGAAGAAAAAAAAACACAGCTCGAAAATACCGCCAATCGCTCGCAAGAAAGTTCTCCAGGCCGCTCAGCGGGGGGTGAAAGGCCCCTACTTATCAACAACATAGAGAGATCTCCTGATCCACTCTCATCCTCAGCCCATGCAGCCATCCCCCATCATTGGCTTCCTTCTCCCTCTGCCCCAGATGGTGTCATTCATAGCAGGATGGTCAATTTGGCACCGTGTGGATCGCCTGAATCCCTCCTCCTTGCCTGAGACTTCGTGCCTAGATGCTTGCCTAGAATTATAGGCATCAGCTTTTGCTACGTGCCGCAGTCGAGCAACTATTGCAGCCAAATCCTGGTGCCAGATCTCCAGACCGGAATGGTCAGAGATTTGCCGGAACCTCGGTTATGGCGTTGGGCTTAGTGTCAGAATATATTCCAAAATCTGGAGTTGAGGAACTATGATCGGCTACAGACGGCATGGATGCAGATTTGCCTCAGATTGCGGAGAGAGCTTCTATCAAGTCCCCTCAACCGAGCCAGGCAAAACCGGCGGAGCTAAGATGCTCGACTCCTATGTCACATTTGACGAGTTTCAAATTATGGCATAGAGATGTTGATTTGAGTGACAAAAGAAAAGTTCTTCGTATATGAAGAATCGAGTTGGATGAGGCTTTTTTTATTTTACAAATGGTCCCCTAGGAAGAAAACCGAGGGTTTCCCAACTCTATCACGAAGACGATACACCTTCATACGGCGTTCTTTCCCAGAGTCTATCCGCGTCTGTTACAATGCAGGCCCTCCCTTTTTCTCGAACTGCTTGCATCGAACCATGCAACAAGTCATTAAACTTCACACCAAGGAAACGAGCTCGGTAAGGCTTCCTCTCAATTCGAGCTCGGTCGTTCGATGCCAGCTGTTCCCATTCAAAGTGAGGAAGCAATTTAGGTCTGGGGATGAAGTCAGTATTCGGTCTCGGAGTTCCGGAGAAATTTGCGGGAATTTTGGATCTTTGGTAAACACTTACGAACTTGGCCATGAGGGCAACCATCAGGTCGAAAAGACCAATGGCTTCGACGAAAGCGAAACCCAGAATGGCGTAGGAGAAGAGCTGGCCACGGAGAGCAGGGTTGCGGGCAACACCGTTAAGGAGGGCAGCGAAGACGAGACCAATACCGATACCAGCACCAGTCAGACCAATGGCGGCGGAACCCATACCGATGTTCTTGGAGACCTCAACGAGAGCCTGAGCGATCTCGGAAGAGTAGGCACGGCGCTGGACGGCGTTGCGGGCAGTGGCGTTGAGGATGGTGGAAGCCTGCTGGCGGCGGAGAGCCTGCATGGGGCTGGCAGTGCCTTCATCGGTTGCGTCAGTTGCTGTCCTGTCCAATTGGCCAAGCCGGAAGGCTCCTGGAAACCGTCTGTAGGCTCAATTGGAGCTTGAAAAGATTTTACTCACTCAGGGCGCGCTTGGAGGCAGCGACGGGAGCACGCATGGCAGGGCGAGCGGCCTTGACGGCCATCTGGGAGGCCAGGCGGGAAGCGAAGACACGGGTGGCGGCCATTGTGACTGTTGTGAGGAGGGGAGAAGGTGTATTGGTGGTGTGAAGATGGAGTTGGGATGGATGGTTGCGAAAGAAAGATGGAGGGAGCTCAGCAAAGAAGAGAGGACAGAGTTGAGGGAAAAGGGAAGAGAAAGAGGAGTCCACAGGTCGGAAGAGAAAGTTGCGGTCCCACTCGAACGGGAGAAACCAGGGGGCTAACTAGCCCGGGGCAATATACGGTACGAAGAAGCAACGAAGCTGGTGGTCAGCGGGAAGCGGTGGGCAAGACATACAATTCGCTCACAGCGAAAACGGTGCGACGACGTTGAGGTAGGTGCAAATTTGACACCTGGTGGACACTCTGACTGGCGAGTAACCTGTCGGGGGAAGTCGGGTGGGTACGAATGGAAGAATGCAGGGCCATGATTGCACTGATTTCAGCGCTTTGATGGAGTGGACCATAAGTCATGGTAACCAGCTTGCTAGCTGCTCCGCGATGGATCGCACGAACCGGGGTGGTTGGTGGTCGGGCGAGGAAAAGGCCTCAAGAGCCGGATTAATGCTTTGCGGAGCGTATGAGGAAGCACCTCTGACCTACGATGTCTACAACTACGGATTTACAGACAGGCCAGCCATCAAAACGACAACGATCGGGAATGACAGGGTGAGATACTACCCAGGTAAGTACCCCTTACGCGATGAGTACACGCTGTGGCACATGCTAGACCAAGCAAGGGGCGGGAGCTGAGGAAAATTTTGCTTCTGTTCATTTCAGATGTTGCTGTCTGAGGCATGAACAGGCAAACAATTTTCGGGAATTAAACGTACTGTTTGGAGCCTCAGGTTTATGTTTTCTTCAAGGTTTGATATTTTCTCTACCAATGCTCGATCTGATGCCCCACTTTACCTCGTCGATGCTCCCAGAGGACAAATCAAGGGGAAGAACTGGCACGTGGGTGGATCCCAGGCTTGAGACTACGTCCCACCAGGATTCAGGGCAGAGATAAGGCCATGTTTGGCCTGACCGCAGAACGGGCGCTGGAGGCATCAGGCGCTGCGGGTATAAGAAGCCAGCAGGTTCTCCCACATAGCTCGTAATTGCAATAATTCTGGCATCCGGCCGAGCGCAAGCACCTGTGATTCCCAACCATTCCAGATGTTGACGAGCCTGGGCTGCAATGCAACCGCAGATCTCAGATATTATGCTTCTCCGGCTGGCACGTCCACTGCTCCGAATAGGGGCTTCAGCACCAAGCCTGCCGGCCGCACGCCCACTAACAGTCCACCGGTAGCAATAGTGTATATAAACACAAGACAGCACCGACGAATTGGCAGACACGCAACGAGTCTTTCTCCTCCCTCCGATTCATCTAAGGACGGCATATCGAGAAATGTGAGGAGTCGACAATCGGTTGCGATTGACTGCAAGATCGCAGATGCTGCAATGAGACACCAGAGCCTTGAAACGCAGCCAATCAGACGCCGCATCGGACGGACGGCAGCCCAAACGGGCAATGACTCGTGAACCGTCCGGGACGGTCGGCTAGCAAATTTTTGCCTCGTTTTAACTCTGTCGCCAGGCCTACGAACCCCCATTGCTACAGAAGGCTGCATTGCATCATGTGGCCACTGGATACTACCTGGGCTGAGCTAATAAGCGGCCAGGCCCTTGTGCTACTCCCACCATCCCCAGGTGCTGATGCAATTGGGATGCAGCGACGAATGAGGGGGAGCTCTAGCCTTGCTATAAGTCAGCAAGTTCAAAAGTTTAGTAGTCGTAAACTTCGCACGCAAGATCTAGACCAGGCGGTTCCCCCGAGATTCGCTTGGACGACAACTCAGTGTATGCTCCCCATGCTAGATCTAGCATCCGCCCCTGTCTTGGCCAGATGCTGCCCGCAAGCAGGGGCCCGATAATTTCTCGGGACGAGGCCTTAGCAGAACCTCCTGTCCCTGCAGGGAGCAGCGCGAAGCTTATTTAGAGAGGTGTGCCGCCTTGCTGACTCAGCCCCCGTCAATCAAGCGAAAATACTCCTTCGGATGTTATAGGGTAAGCCGTGTGTTGGAATTATTTCAACATCTCCTTATGCCCGTATAGCGGGAGATTGTAGACATCAATAACCCAATCCTGCCATCGTGTTGGGGGTAGATCGAGTTATGGTTTGTCCAATTGGCGCCGTTGATGTCAAATTGACCCTGTAAACTACCAGGCGCTTGCCTGATCCGCCTGTGATTGCTTGGTTTCTGATGTGACGTCGCATACCTTAAAATCTCTCGAAGCTCTCCAGTGAGCTGTTCCACCTTAAAACTAGCATACAAGACAGCTCTCGTCTGCAGTCTCGAGATCTGCTTACGACTCTGTCTGGTGTAATTGTTATACTGCGGTCCTACAGTTTTACAATTTTGTTCTGATGCGTTGTCTGATCAGTTAATGCAGCTTTATTGAGCGAGAGTTTGAGAGCAACTCATGTTCATTTCTTTCCTCACCTTGTTTGATATTCCCAGCGGGCCTTCGACTAAAACATAACAGCCATCGATTTGCACAGTAGCGCAAATTCCCGAGAGGTTTCTATACATTATTACACACTAAGAAAAGCCCGGAATAAATCCAATGCCCACCGGGCTCTATTGTAAACCGCACGCCATCCAGGTTGCCCTTTTCTAGTAAGAAGCTCTCATATCATCCCGGGGTATCATAGTTTTACAAGCCATCTTACTCATCTGAGCCTCCATCCGTCTGCTCCTCCCCAGACCCAGCGCCGCTCTCCGGTTTCATGGCATAGCCCTCCACAAAGCCATCCGGATCGCATACCTTCTCCAGGCTGAGGCGGTGGGTTGCTACATACCGCCGGACAGCCGCCTTGTCAACGCGGACTCTAGGAACCAGCTTGACCTCTGGCTTCTCCGCCGCGGCTCCCTGGCCGTTGTGCTGATCTGACTGCTTCTCCTCGCCCTCCTCACCGGCCTCATCCACAGCCGTCTTTTCTGGCTTCCCAGGCCCCACGCCGGCGTCCTCGACAATGCCCATATCTCGGAGGACAAAGAGGCAATCGTCAGGAGCGATCCACGTCGCCTCGCTGCACTCCTTGATGTCCACTATCGTCTCTCGAGGGTTACCGTCGTGGTCGGGACCCTGGTCGACCTTCAAGCTGAGCAGCCAGCGGGCAATCTCATTAGCCCAGAATCGCATGTAGCCCTTCTTGCCCAGATCGGAGATCGGTTTCTCTGGCCCACCCAGGAGCCCTTCCCGGCGGGATATCTCGTAGGATGCGCCCATGAGCAGGGCGCCCAGCCCTTTTCGCTGCCACGGCGGGAAGACCAATATGCAGGCGAGGTTGTTGTTGTCCCACGACAGCTTCTCCTTCGAGAACAGGCCGGTGATCTGCGGTCTGGGCTCGGGGGCGACGTTGGGGTCGCTCGGTATCGGGTGAGGGTTCGGTGGTGGCGGAGGCGTGTACACGAGGAGGAAGTAGTTGAATGCCCCGACGTCGAAGAAGACGGACTTGTTGTCGAGGAAGAGCTTCGCGAAGAGGGAGAGGTTCTGGCAGAATAACTATAAAGAACAAGACTGTTAGTATCTTATACGACGACATGAAGGTAAGAGAGTAGGCGTAGTTTCCAACACCCGCCAACAAAGGAACTTACCCTGTCTACTTCGCCGTCAACCTCCCAGATGCTCCATTCCCCCTCGTCCTGGACCGTCTCCTCGACGTACCTCACCCCGCCGTCCCCGCGCCTCCTCTTGGCCCCCAGAGTCGTCTTGCCGCCCTGCGGCACGAGCCTGGTCCGGCGACCGCGCGGGTGGGAGTATATCTTGCGCCCGGGCACCCTGCCGCGGAGGGAGCACACCTTGCTGTGGCCCCACCAGGCGACAATCTCCCTCGAGTACTTGAAGCAGCTCGGGCAGACGTACAGCCTGTTGAGCATGGGCGGCGGCTGGTCGCGGTCCTTCTTAGCTGCCTTGTCATCCTTGCCGCCGCCGCCGGGTTTGGGGATCGTCGCGGACGGGTCGCCGAGCAGCTCCTTGCCGTAGTAGCTTGGGTACCATGTTCGGAAGCAGAGGTCGCCCAACACGACTTTATCGATGTTGCGGTCTGCCCTCGGGGGCTGGCGGTCGGCGGTGGCGGCCGAGGGGGTCGTGGGAGGAGGAGGAGGAGGTTGCGGAGGAGGGTTCTGGGTCGGTATTCTGGGTGGAGGGACCGGGGTGACGACGGCGGGAGGCAGACGGGGCTGCTGGGCGGGTGGTGGAGGCCCGTGTGGCCTGACCAGGGCGGAGGAGAAGGGACTGGTCATTTGCTGGGGGAGATGCTGGGGCACATGGTAGGAGATTTCGGGCGCGACGAGGTCTGAGGCTCGGAGGGGGTCGTTCTGGGCGGCGAGGCTGGCCATGTCGGCGTCGCTGGCGGTGTCGCGGGCGCCGGAGGAGGGTTGATGTGGGCGCTGCTGACTGGCACTGGCGGCTGGGCTAGGGATGGGCGTTGTCGTCGCTGCTGCTGGCGGCTGCTGGGTCGAGCGAGCCTGCCCACGGCCACGGCCACGTCCGAGTCCGAGTCCGCGTCCACGCTCTTGGGTCTGCTGGCTGTCTCTGTGCGACGATGGCGACGGTGGTGGTGGCAGCGACGGCGAGTCTTGCTGGTTGTCCTCGATGTTGGATGGCGAGTACTGACGTGCGGCTGTGCGACGCGATGTGCGACGCGCCAGATGCTGTTGGTTGGCTGTGCGTTTGGGAGGCATTCAGTGTAGTGTAGTGAACTTTAGTGGACTGACGCAGGTGGCTGTAGGCGGTCAAGCGCTGAGGCGTAAGGTTTGGTCACTGTGGGATAGGGAAGGAATGTCAATTGTATGTATGCAGTATTAATTCTAAATGTCAGAGCTGATTAACTTGATAGAATGCGAAGAAAGAGTAAGAGATGAAACGACTACATCCCGCCAGACCCTGTTATGTTATGAAAGGGTCTCATTCCCAACCCGGCATGGTTACCTGATTCATTCTCCAAGCCGATACCAGATCTTGAGGCACTGAAGGTGCTGACTCACTGACTTACAAGGGCACTTTCTTGGTCCTATAAGGTGAGCAAATTGGATGCAAGCTTGACGAGGCATTCCCTGGCAAATCAACAAGCTTCGTTCAACATCATAAAACTTTTGATAAAATTCAATTATTCTCAATTTCTTAAACTAATATATGAGCGGAGTATGCGAAAGTCAAGGTGACCATATGGCATGGCACCAAAATGTTCCACAGCTCTTGGGTCTGACCTAGACCTCTTCCTTTCCTAACTCATATGAGGGGAGATTTGATCACAACGCAACATAAGAAATCACTTGAGCTGCTCTCAAGACACACGGGCTGGGTTATGCCATACCTCAATCCCTAGAAGCCACTCGGCCACGCAAAAACAAACAAACAGACAACATGATCAATCTCCCATAGAAAATAAGGGGGATAGACCCCTCAACGACGCCGCAGCGTGCAAACCGGTCCCACGACCTTCATAACCTCATCAAGAGTCCGGTCGTCCTCGTCCCAGTCTTTCACCAGGGTCATGAGGTGGCGACGGGCCAGCCCGGCATCGCGGTTCCGGTACACGCTGTCGATTTTGCGCACCTCGCGGTCGTTGACCAGCCAGCGCTTCTCGTCCGCCAGGAACTGGACGTAGGTCATGTCGTCGCCATACCGGGCCCGCACGTGGTCCTCCAGGTGCGCCCGGATCGCCTTCTCCGAGGCCACCTGCGCCTTGGACCGCTGGCCTGGATCGACGAGCGGGTCGTCGCGCGAGGGCTGGAACGTAGCCTCCTTCTTGGTTGGGTCCGGTAGGATAGGGAAGGCCGAGTAGTACAGCAGCGACGGGCTCTCGAGGATGGCCGGGGTCAGGGAGGCGAGCTGCGGCGGGGTGACGGGGCAGTGCGCGAGGTTGAGGTACTCGAGCCGCGGGGTCGACTGGATCATGGCGGCAATGGAGGGCAGGGCGCCCTCCTCGATGTAGTTGTACGCCTGGCCGAGGTCCTGGGTGGCGAACGCCTGACCCAGGTCGAGGGACCGGATGGCTTGGTGGCCGGCGAGGGCCTCGCACAGCGCAACGACACCTTGGGTGCTGGCTCCGACTGATTGTAAGGACAGTCGGGCGAGGCATGATGCATTGCGCAGTGCGGAGGCGAGAGCCAGCGCGCCGTCGTTACCGATGGGGTTGCAGGACATGTACAGCGACTCCAGGCCGCAGTGAGGAGACGAAAGGAAGGCCGCGATGGCCTGGGAGGCTTTGGTTGATATACCGCAGCCGTTCATGTACATGTTCCGCAGGGGGAGTTTGAAGCCATCTGGGCCCTTGTAAGCGGCGAGCTCGGTGAACAGCTCAGCCACGCCAGCATCTCCCAGCTCGGTCTGGTCCAGGTCCAGAGTATTCAGATTCTCAGTTTGCGTAATCAGGCGGAAGAGGTCGTGTGCGGCGCCGGGGCCCAGGGGATTACGTTTCAACCAGACCTGGCGCACCGCGGGCGATGTGACCAGGGCGTCGACGAGCGGAGTGAAGCTGGCGCCGGTGATGCAATTTCCAGCAATGTACCAAGTCTCAATCTGGCCCGGGAGCTCGTGGATGAACTTGGCAATGGCCGCAGCGCCAGAGGGGCCGATGATGTTATTGCCCAGGAGGAAGTGCCGGACAAACTTGTTGGACCGCAGGCTCTCCATGAGCTTCCAGATGTGGTCGGGCCCAACCACCATTTTGCAGAGATCCATGCGCCCATCCTCGTACACGACACCTTTGCGGAACTCGGCACCGTGGACACCATAGTGCGGCTCACCGCGACCGTCATCAAGCTCGACGGCGTCTTCGATTCCGTCCAGGTTGTCGGTACCTCCGTTCTGCAAGTGCTCAAAGAACGGTGCCAGCTCGTCCTCGTGCGCGACTTGGACCGGCATGGGGATCGCGGGGCACCCGTCGAGGGAGATGGGTTTCTTGGCCGGGTCCCAAGGGCCCTGGCCAGTGATGCGGCTGGACCAGGCAGGCTGAGGGATACCGGGCCCGACACCACCGGACAGGCCCATGGTGGTGCGTCCGTGCAGTTTGGTAGCTATGAGGCGGTCATATTTGCGCTGCAGAGCCGCCCAAGCACGAAGGCGGACACGGTCTGCGTCGTATCGGATGAGTGCACTCAGGGAGCCGTCGTGGGCCGGGTCGAGGAGGCGGCAGAGGGCCTCGGCCTCGGCGTGGCGGGCTGATTTGCGACGAGGCAGGCTGAAGAGGGCATCTGGGACACGATGTTTGTCCAAGGGTAGTTGGATGATCTCGTCGGCAGTGTAAGGAAGGTTCAAGTTCAAATCAGGCAGGTGGAGGTTGAGTGCGTTGAGAGAGGTGCGGCAGAGGCCAGCGAGATGGACCATGTCCTCCATGTTTACCCCGTCCTCCAACTCAGGTTTTGTAGTCAGCGACGGGGAGGGTGACAACTGGATTTGGGTAGCAGTAGCCATGTTGAATTGGTTGATTAAGTGATTGGTCTTGAAATAGTCGTGGAATTTCACCTGCCGAGTCTTGACCAGCTCTAGTCAATTCGGTCGGTGAGAGTGTGTGATGATGTTGAGCAAAGACAGTCTCAAAGGGGGACCAACCCATCTTAAATACACCCTGCCTTGCATTTCCATGTCATTCTAAGAGTCATAAAGTCATAAAAGCCATAAAGTCAAAACAAAATAAAATAAAGTAATTCTGCCTAACGTCGTTGGTCGTGCGTGAATCACAGCCATCGTCCACTGTGGAGTGAGGCCGGTGTGGATCGATCTGGACATGCGCCGGGGTCATCTCATGCGCCATGTCAGACACAGGGCGCGCTCTTCATGTTGGCTGTAAGGCTGAGTCAATCCGCAGCCAATGAGCAGCCGTCTCCTTGCCTCGCATTTGCCTTTTTGCGCGGCGGCGTGTTGGCGTGTGCCCGGCATTGTGATGCCTTGTCAAAAGCTTGAATTTAAGCGTGGGCGCAGGGCGTACTCCAAGAACCTTCGACTCTTCTGGGGCATTCTACTCTTTCAAGCAGGATGAAGCGACAATGGCCAACGCTCCTGTTACATTCACCCCTAAAGGACAGTCCAGTTGTTCTAATGATTCACATGTTTCTCGATGCACTCGTCTCGTGCACACCTAAGCTCGCAAGCGCCGTCATATTACCATTGCGCTTCTACAACTCACGCAGCGCAGTTCTCTATGGATGCCATACCCATCTATCCACCCATTGCCTACCTTTTCATCCTCCGCATTGCGAACAAGTAGGGTGAACCGTGGCGGTCACAAGCTTCAACAGGAGCTTTGCGCCACTATCTTCGGGACCACCACAAACGCAATCAATAAACGCGAGTCTCCCAAAGGTAACAATATCCGTATGCTTTGATCACAGTATCACACGTGACATGAATGTATGTACCCAAGTTACATGCCGTCAAAGTCCCCACCCAAGTCATCCTCGTCTAGATCGCCCTCCTGAATCTCCTTGGCCATCTCCCTCTCGCGTTCGCGAGCTTCTTGGGCGTTCTTGAGTTCCAGGCGGTGTTGGTTCATAGGGAATCGCATGGCCTAATTATCAGAGCGTAAGCTCAACTGTATCTAATCAAACTTTGGTCATCGGATACAACATACCTTTACACTTTCGTCATGCAGTGCCAGACAGGCTCGGATACGGTCATGGAAGGCCTCACCGGGCTCGCGTGTAGCATAAACGTCTCCCACTTCTTTGGACTTCATAAATCCCCTCTCGCGGTCCAGAGTAGCCTCGATGACACCGTCTCTGATAGCCTTTGCAACGATGTACTCTGCCGACTCCTCGCTGCCTAGATGCAGACGGATGCAGATATCTCGGAGGGAAATCCGTGAGTAGGATAGAGACATCATGCGAATACCAGTCTTGATGACATTCTGTCGAAGACGCAGAATCAGCGTGTAAGTGCCATCCTTTCGGAAGGTATCCGCATGGTCAGCAATCGTTGTCTCAAAGGTCTCCAGATCGCCAACTCGCACGGCTTGAACGAGCAAGAAGTACGGGTGAAGAGCCTCCTCCATGGTGGCTTGGCGGAATGTTGAGCGGTCGGGGATATCACCCATCAGAAGCTCGACAACAAGCAGAAGCTTGGTGGCCGTTTGTGAGAAACCCAAGGCGCAGTTGCTGGATGGTGCCTTGCGTGTGGCAGCTGTGAGATGTTCATGTGCCTCGGTGTAGCGTAGCTGAATGGCTCGGATCCGTCCGAGGTAGTACAGGAAACGTGCTACCTGGTTGTTGACTGCGTTTTCGGGGAATTGGGTGTGCGAAACAAGCAGATCAGCTTGGCTAATGTGCGAGGTCAGGAGGTAGTTGCGCAGGAGCAGCACAATGACCGATGCCTGTGTGTCGATGTCTTTGCGGAGGACTGCGGTTCGAAGAGCTGCGAGGAGCGTAGGTCGAATAGCCACCACCGGTGACTCCGGAGAGGGAGGCAGAGGATCCATGTGCTCGCAGAATAGAGAGTAATAGAAATACACCTTAGCGGAGAGAGAATCTAATGTGCGGCGGTTGAGAGTCTGGATACGCTCAGACAGGTACTGGGAGAAATCTGCTCCCTCCTCATACTGCTTCGTGTCAAACAGATGAACCTGGATGAGAATTCCGAGGAAGATGTCAATTTCGGGAATGATCTCCTTGATCTCCTTCTTGGGGCCATTCTTAGTGGGCTTGCTCGTCTCGCTGTCAATCTCCATCTCTGAGCCAGACTTGCTTCCAAGGGTGACATTTTCGCGGCCGATAACCGCAAGTAGGTTCTTGACGATATTTTCGGACGCAGGAGTTGCTGGGAATGTCTCGACGATCGCTTGGGCGATGATATCGGGGGTCAGGCGCTTGCGGATAAGGGAGACTGATCGCAAGGCGCGAAGGGAGAATCGGGCATCGAACAGGATAACAGCTCGATCCAGCAAAGCAAAGTTGCTCTTGATATCTGCCAGAAGAGTAGTGTGAGTAGCGGTGCTCAAAGTGTACTGAAAAAATACCATATCTAATCATCAGGGTTCACGGGCAGCTTACCTGCGACGGCCTGGACAGCGGGGTCGACCTTGTCCTCAGCCTTGTCGTCGCCGGCCATATCAACATCTCCGTCAGCGTCCCCAGACTGTTGTTGCTTCGTCGACTTGGAGGGAGGAACGACGACAGTCATCTCTTCGTCACCATCCTTGGCGGCAGGCTTCTTGCCCTTTGCCTTGTCGGCGTCCTTGTTATTTCTTACGCCATTCTCGGCGGGCTTCCGGCCGCTGTTGTGAGGAGTCTTGCCGGGCATGACGGCGACCGTACGTGGTACTCTATAGAGCTGTGAGGACCCGAGCGAGGTGCCTGTGTGGCTTGTGCGAGGGATGATATGGCGATGGTGACGGTGATGACAAAAGCGGCTTCAGGTCAGGCGAGCAAGGCACTAGAGTCTCCCTTGTGGCTGGCAATTCGTCGAGGAAGATGGCTTTGGCGTGCGGCGAATGAGTGTATCAAGCAGTCCTGCACCGTGCCTGTCCTCGGTCTGTCGGTGATGGGCGGTGGTGAGGTGTGTGCGATGGTTTGTTTGCGTCGTTGATTGGGAGAATGCAGAAGATTCGAGCTCGCCAAGTTGGGGCGCGCCTACAGCTCGCTAGGCGACAGGGTAGGAGCATGTGCAGGGTACTTGCCGATCTAGGGGGAGTTGCGTGGGGAGCAATGTACCCTGTACCGGAGGCACTACCAGCTGTCTCTTGGGGCACCGCTGCTACTGCCGTTGGGGTACGTTGAGGTAGTGCGCTGGCCCGAGCGTAAGTGACGTTGTCGAGCTGATGCCTGCCAGCTCACCTGCGTGTACCTTTTTGCTGGCAGTGGCCACCTTCTAGGGTGAGCTGCTACCCTGGAACAGACTGATCTCTCCTGGTCTGCGGCGACAAGCAGCACAATATGTGCCTTGTCGTTGTCTTTTCTATCTCTTGCTTTTTATTATGTGCTTTTTTTATGCTCTTGAAATCCCCTCACTTCACACGCAACCTGTGTATATTGCTGATCTGGGTAAGTATTCAGACTAGCGGCGAATTGGCTTTCGGACTGAGGGCTGTTTCGTAGGCAGAGAGGGTTTTGGTTTGGAATGGATGCCATCTGACATGTGTACCTCAACACCAGCCTGTCACATGAGATCATTATGCACATTCTCACTACTTCGCGGGTGGTTCTCAGCCCTCAAGAATCGTAGTCGCACGCAATGAAAAATAGTCAGGACTTATGTTGGAGAAATCGAGATTTTATTAAAACCGTTTGAGTCATTCTGTCGTTCCTATCCTTGACAAACTACAAACACCAGGAAAAAATCCTAGCATAGCATTGATCGCCAGCCCGTAATTATCACCCTCCCAACGCCTGGATTAATCAACCAAACCGGAAATCTAGAAGCAATAAGGCTTTCAATCGTAGAAATAAGAAAAAAAAAACAAGAAGTAGGAGGAGAAACCGTCTATTCGCCCTTGCCGGGCATGACCTTGGCGGCCTGAACCGCACTCATCTTGGCAATCCATCCGGGAGAAGGCTGGACTTTGCGAACAGTTCGCAACTCGTCTGACGAGTAGCCTGGAACGCGGATATTGTAGGTTCTTTCGAGAACAAGCTGAATGTCACGGATTTCCAGGACCTTAGAACCTCGCTCTTTGGCATTTCGGCAGGCAGCGTGTAGAACATTATCCACAAACGAATCGGCCATGTTCAAAACATTCTGGACACAGTTAGCATGCTAGGTCGTCGAGATTAGTGTGTGGCTTTGCATCACTTACTTCTTCAACATCTGGTGTTAGGAGGTTGCCTTCCTGCCCTTCGGATGAACCTCCGCACACCTGACGAACGAGTTCGTCTAGTTTCTTCTTGCTGAGAACGTGGTCACCCTCAGCCTCGTTGTTGTATGCGGGGACTCTTCCCATCGCTGGTTGGTTCATAACTCCTCCCAGAGTACCGCTTCCTTGTGACATTGTAGGGCGACCTGCCTTGACACCTCCTCCAATCGCAACGCCATGTGGAACAGCAGTTGCCTTCTCCGGCAATTGCTTGGGGATGGGCATCTTGGACTGGATCGTGGCTTGCTGAGTTGTCGGGTGTGCGTGGTGACCTTGCTGTTGCTGATGCTGCGGCGCAGCTTGTTGTTGCTGCTGCTGTGCAGCCATGTTTTGGTTCATGGCCCCGTTTGTGGACGTAGGAGTGCCAACTTGCTGCGGCGTTTGGCCCTGTTGGACCTGCTGCTGTTGCTGACCATGTGTTGGGATATTGCCAGAGACAGCTCTTTGGTTGGCAAGATTCATGGCGGCAGAGTGGCTCAAAGCTCGCGTTGGCCCAGGAGGAGGAACCGGAGTCGCCGACTGGGGCGTCTGCACGCGCTGAACCCCTTGGGCTTGCGCCTGCTGAGCGGCCATCACTGTGTTGACTGGCGGAGGCTGAACCGGCTCGGTCTTCACTTGGACTTGGGCTTGG